CTGGGTCACTATCAATGTCAAGCCCAATTGTACAAGCCTTGAGGAAGGAGATTGAACCAGTACACACGCCTGATGGGAGAAAGACATGACTTCCTCCCTCCTGATAGGGAGTTGGAAGATAAAGATCCTTTTAACCTTTCACTCCATCCACATCAACTTACGGATAACTATCTATCTCTGGAACAGAAAGGGAACGACGAAAATGCGACATACAATGCCTACACGGATGGCAGTAAAATGGATGAAGAAACAGGGGCCGCATATGCTGTTTTCAAAGAAGGCATACTTATAAAAGAAAGGAAATTAAAACTTGCCAGATATTGCTCAGTTTATCAGGCAGAAATGCTGGCGATAAGGGAATGTCTCGTATTCCTGGAAAAGATTACAAAACCTGGTGAAAGGGCGACAATTCATACTGACTCGCAATCAGCTATTATGACCATAAAGCAAAGAAAGTGTAAAGATCAGATGGCAAATGAAATTCAATATTTAATAACCAAAATTAATGGACAAAGTCAAGTAAACTTAACATGGGTAAAGGGACATGCAGAGTCAACGGGTAACGAATACGCGGACTACCTTGCTAAACAATCATTGAAATTAAAAAAGGAAAATTATGATAAGGTACCTAGAAGTTATCTGAAAGCACGAGTAAAGGAGCAGATCAGTGAAGAGATGAGCACCCTATACACAGGGAAGATTAACAATATCACCAAGAAATGGTTACCCGACCTTGAAACAGCCAACAAGATCAATAAGGCAGACCCATATATTATTGGTAACAAAGCAATAGCTGCATTCATCACAGGGCACGGCTATTTTAACCCACACATTAGCAGAATCTACAACCAGGGTGAACCTAAATGTGATCTTTGTGACCTTTGTGCGGATCAAACAAGTACACATATTCTTTGGGAATGCCCTTTCTTTAGTGACCAAAGAAATCGGATACGTGATCAATTAGACTACTACAAACAAGAACACAACGTGGATTTACAAAACAATGCCCAGAATGAAGAATTGCTCCTTAGAGCACAAATGTCTGACAAAAAATGGATAACCATCATTGAAAACATAAAATCAATTTACAAGTACCTCATCAACAAATACTATAGAGATAAGCAGAATCAACAAGACACTTGATATTCACCCTAGTAATAAGGAGCAGCTATCGACATAACAGTCAATCAGGATTATCCATGGGATGGTTGGGAGGGATGTTGAATGAACAAGACATAATCACTAGATAACGTTACTAAACAACACACCACACTATCAATAGGGCGGTTGCTAACAGTGCAATATGCAGGTAAAACTTGCAAATTAATGGTATTAAGCATGGTTCTGAACACAATCACTGTAGGTCATCCCTCTACGTAGGGCAATTTAAACCTCAATGAATAACCCAATTCTGTATTAGAGACAATCCCAACATTGCACAATGTAAAGACTACTTGATTGATCAAGTAGATCTAAGC